AAAAACAGAGGAAGCCAGACATAGTGTAATATGTACATAAATAGTGATTAAAATGGTGAAATACACAGAACTGCTCACCTGAGTATAATGGTGTATGTGCCACTGGGGGGGCACCAAACCCTGTGGATGAGTATCAGGAACACTACTTACGTCCAGGTAGGGAGTAGAAAAAGTAAAATGTATTAAATTTATACAAAATAAAATAACTATAATAAAATAATGATTAAAAATAAATCTTGAATCCTCCTGGACGTCCGAGATGCATTTCGCCGGTGGACTTTATCGATCGTACTACTCACATTAACCCCTACTAATCCTGTCACTCGCATTCCAACCATACCAAACTCACCTGCCATAGCTCTGTCACACTATCACATTAACCAACCAATCCTGTCACATGCAGGAGATGCTTTGTTCTCTCGGACTGTCACACTCACCCCAACCCTGTCACTCTGGCACTATCACATTAACCCCTCAAATCTTGTCCTCCAAACATGCCACACTAACCCCTAACCTGTCATACTATTTTCCCAATGCTACCACACTCACCCTGCCACATAAACCCCCCTTAATCCTGTCACTCACACCTCCCCTCATTCTGTCATACTCCCTATCCATGCCACACTTAGCCGAGCCCTCTGATATTTACCAGTTGTGGAACTAATGTAGAGATGCAATCTATTATTTTTGGCCCCATTATAGTGCAAGAGTCGCCAAAAGGTAGATTCCTATCTTATCTACATTGGGATATCTACCATTTTCCCATTGTTGCAGACATGCACTTGTAAGCAGGGTTTGTGCATTTGAATGCAAGCATGTTTTTGCATAGAGTATGCGTGTGCATATAGGGGTTTATTTATATGTACTGTTGCCGTTGGAATGCAGTGGTATACGTGTCTAGTATTTGCAATTGGCAGGGGTGTATTTGTATGTAGTGTTGATGTTGGTGTTTGAATGAAAGGGTGTGTTATTATATAATTTTGGAGTTTGAATGCATGGGTATGTTTGTATGTAACATAGAATGTGAATGTGATGGCAGATAAGAACCATTCGGCCCATCTAGACTGCCTAATTTTCTCAATACTTTCATTAGTCCCAGACCTTTCATAGCCTTATGTCTATCCTACGCATGCTTAAACTTCCTCACTGTGTTAACCTCTACCACTTCAGCTCAAAGGCTAATCCATGTGTCCACTACCCTCTCTGTAAATTAATACTTCCTGAAATTATTTTTAAATCTTTGCCCCTCTAATTTAAGACTATGTCCTCTTGTTGTGGTAGTTTTTTTACTTTTAGATATTGTCTCTTCCTTTACTGTGTTGATTCCCTTTATGTATTTAAATGTTTCTATCCTATCCCCCCTGTCTCGTCCTTCCTCCAAGCTATACATGCTAAGATCCTTTAACCTTTCCTGGTAGGTTTTATCCTGCAATCCATGAACCAGTTTAGTAACCCTTCTCTGAACTCCATTTCAAAGTATCAATATCCTTCTGAAGATACGGTCTCCAGTACTGCGTACAATACTCCAAGTGAGTGCTTAAGCATTAATTGAGATGCATTTGATTGTTAATGGCATTGTGGGTGTTATGGGTCGGATTTTGTTAGTTTGGGCTTGGTAGCAGGGGTTGGTGGGGAGTGGCTGGGAATGAGTGGGGGGGGGTACTCAGGGTGGAGTTGGGCCATACCGCCCTAGTCCCCCCATATCCAAGGTATCAGCTGAGGGAATTAATGGAGCTATGGGATCCATTCCTGGTCCTTGTCTTTTTACCAGGGGACTACTTTTCGGGGGCATGGTGTTTATCTGCCTAATTGGTAGTTCCTGTCAGGGTCTTACCTGAGTTGGGAGTCTGTAGCGCAGATATGATGCTCACCCTTGCAGATAGCCACAGGCCGAGGTGGTCAGGTAAGAATTCACCTGGCCTGTGGGTCTGTGCACGGGGGCTGTGCAGGATGCAGTACCAATACGCAGGACAGGCAAGGACTGAACCAGCAGGATGGTCGAGGGATAGCCGAGGTCAAAGGATGCCAGAGGACAGGAACAACGAGGAGTAGCCGAAGTCAAGGGATGCCAGAAGTCAGAATAAACGAGTCAGGAAGCCGGGGTCAATAATGCGAAGCGATGAAACAGGAACACTGGAACAAACAGGATCAAGGACTTGACACTGAGCACAGGGCGAGGCTGGGTTTATATACCCTGCTGATGACTGATCAGAGTCAGGTGAAACACAGCCAAGTCAAGGTGCAGCCCCCAGAGTAGTAGCCATGTCAGGATGAACAGGACTGGAATCAGTCTTCACTGTAAATAGCTGCTGTGGCTCAGAGGTAGAAAACAGGACCAGGACTGAGAAGATCCCCGGTTCAAGTCCCCTGTTGGGAACTCCAAGAGCGACCACGTCTTGCCGTCTGTCTATCAGGTGAGAACCGTGACAGTACCCCCCCCTTTAAAAACGACCTCCGGGCGTGAATGGGTTCATTGTCAGCATAGTACACCTCTCCAGGGTCACTATCTGAATCCAGTGAGTCCCCATAGTCAAACTCCCCAGCAAGGATTCCCTTTACAGCTTGGGAGTCCGCAGTACCAGCTTCTGGTACGGCTGGAGAATTGTCCTGGTCTTTTAGGTTCCGGGTACAGGTGGCAAGCACTTCCAAAACTTTGGCAGGAGCAGTGTTCGCAGCTAACAATGCTTTTTCGAACATTTCAAGGTTTTCTTTATGGACTATAGTGCCATTAGAAGCAACGGCACAATCCACAGGTAAAACCTCTTCGGGCGGGCAGGAAGTAGTGGTGGTATCACAGGAAACAACTTCGGGAGTAGATGCAGGAGGCTCTGGAGCAGGGGATGGAGGTTTTCTCGCGGAAGCCAAGCATGTGCAAGCACAACGGCTTCTATTTGGCTTTTTAGGCTGGTATGCGGTGTACACAGGGCGAAGGAAACTAGTACCAAGTCGGAGAGCTGGAGGTCTAGGAGGGCGAACAGGACAAAGCGTGATGAAGTGCCCTTTTTCTCCACAGTAATAACATAGGCCATAGCTTCTCCTTCGGTCTTTTTCCTTAGGTGTCACTTTGCAGTGGACGAGTCCTAATTGCATAGGTTCCACAGGGTCAAGTGGAACACCGGATACCTCTGGAGTTTTCCTGGGAGCTGGAACATAAGGAGGCATTTCTGGGGCGTAGTGGTGGTACTCGGTTTCTTGGTTAGGAAGAGTCTGAGATTTTTTAGTACGTGGAGCTGACTTGGCCACAGTGGTCTTACATTGTGAGTCCATAGCAGTACTAAAGGATTCCCAGCTGACCAGGACAGGACTCTTCGTCTGCAACATTTGGTGAGCCCAAACTTTGATGCGTCCAGACAACAGGTTGATAGCCGCTCTGACCCTGATGAATTCTGTGGCATATGTTCGAGGCTTTAAAGAAAACAACACCTCACAATCCATCTTGAAAGACTGAAAGGATGTGCGGCTACCATCAAATCGGTCGGGCATGATGACAAACGGTTCAGGAAAAGCTGGTTCCGGGGCTGGATGTACTGCGCCTTTAAGGAATAAAATTTCTTGCTGCAGCTCCGAAACAGTCTGGGCCAGGCTGGACACACGCTGGGTCGAGGGTGAGCACATCTCTGCGGACTCCATAATGGTCAAGTCCTTATGTCAGGGTCTTACCTGAGTTGGGAGTCTGTAGCGCAGATATGATGCTCACCCTTGCAGATAGCCACAGGCCGAGGTGGTCAGGTAAGAATTCACCTGGCCTGTGGGTCTGTGCACGGGGGCTGTGCAGGATGCAGTACCAATACGCAGGACAGGCAAGGACTGAACCAGCAGGATGGTCGAGGGATAGCCGAGGTCAAAGGATGCCAGAGGACAGGAACAACGAGGAGTAGCCGAAGTCAAGGGATGCCAGAAGTCAGAATAAACGAGTCAGGAAGCCGGGGTCAATAATGCGAAGCGATGAAACAGGAACACTGGAACAAACAGGATCAAGGACTTGACACTGAGCACAGGGCGAGGCTGGGTTTATATACCCTGCTGATGACTGATCAGAGTCAGGTGAAACACAGCCAAGTCAAGGTGCAGCCCCCAGAGTAGTAGCCATGTCAGGATGAACAGGACTGGAATCAGTCTTCACTGTAAATAGCTGCTGTGGCTCAGAGGTAGAAAACAGGACCAGGACTGAGAAGATCCCCGGTTCAAGTCCCCTGTTGGGAACTCCAAGAGCGACCACGTCTTGCCGTCTGTCTATCAGGTGAGAACCGTGACAGTTCCGCTGCTCTATGTCCCCCTTGGTGCGCAGTCCCATATTTGTATGTCCCCTGGTTCTTTGTGACTGTAGGGGTTTCTTAGGAGCAGAGACGGATGTCTCAACCCCTGGGGGGGGGGAGAAATTGTCTCGTCTGGTGTTGGTAGTGCGCTAGGGGGTTTTGGAGGCAAACGCGAATGTCATTTCCCATTCCAAACATTCCCGCTGTTCCCCTTCCCATGAGTCCTGCAGTACATACATTTTATACAGCATGCTGTTAGAGAGACAGAAAGGGAGGCCGAGATGAAGGGAGGGAGAGAAGACAGATTCAAGTAGACTTATAAGAAGCATGGTCAGTTAAATGAAAGGATAGTAGCAATGTGCCAGCTTATCTTGCGACTGTCCTGTGCTGTGAACCTGACAGCATCAGGCTGCTCTTTTATGCCTTTGGGGATGGTGCTTCGAAGAACTGTTGTGGGAGAGGAGTACCGAAGAGCTCCTGTGTTCAACAAGGAGGTAAGTTCGGTTTGTCTGATGGTGGAGGCAGGCGGCGACGACGACGGGATCCATCTTTGTGTAAGAGGGGTTAGTTGCACTGTGGGTCATGTCGAGATGGTCTTCTGCGCCGAGGTAGCGGAGCCCCTGTTCTGGTTGTAGGGTTGCCCAGGGGGAGCTGATGTATTTCAATGTTAAGGCGTGGGGGTCCCAGTAGTGTTGCAAATCCTTGGGTTTCTGCGACTTCGTGCAAGGTATACGTTTGATCTTCCTTGCAGAGAATTAGCTTAAAGGGGTGTCCCCAAGCGCAACCGAGCCTTTGTTGAGAGAAGGCTTGTGTTAGCAGGCAGAATTCCTGTCTTTGGTGGAGTGTGCTCAGGGCTAAGTCCTAGCAAAATTGGACCTGATACTCTTCTATCTGCTATCTTCTATCTTCTATCATTAGGGCTTCCTTGATGTGGAAGTAGTGTAGCCTTACAATTACATCTCTTGGCTGGTTTGCTAATGCTGAGGGGGCCCGGATCACTCTGTGTGCACGGTCTAGGAGCAGTTCGGCGGGTGGTGCTTCAAGTAGTAGGCCGCAGAATGTTTCCCAGAGTGCAGAGTTAAGCATGTCGGCGGTGACTGATTCAGGTAGGCCCCGGATTCTGTTGTTATTTCTCCTATTATTTAGATTTTCTTGGGCATCTGATTGCTTTGTCGTGGTTGGAGGTAGTGGCGGTCATGTCCTCCATTTTGTCTTTTATTGCCACTGTGCATCTAGTGAGGTCTTCAAAGCCTTATTTAATAGGAGTGAGGTGTTTTGCCAGTTCTGTGGCCATATTGGCATTTTTGTCCATTAGGAGCCCTTTCTAGTCCTTCCTGGTGACCGGGGCCTGAACTTTCTCCCTCTACTCATATTGTTCGTTAGCAGGGGAGTCTCGTGAGGTGTGTGAGACAGCTTTTGGGGGTTATGTTTTGGCAATTGGTGCTGATGCGAGCTGAAAGTTGCCTGGTGGTGTGGAGATGTGTCCATCTTCACTGGGAGTCAGGCGTCGCCCCATTAACATTGTGTGCAGGAGGTAGCTTGCTTTGTGTCCTGCTGCTGTCAAAGATTGATGGCAGTGTGGGGGCTGGAGCAGCTCTCTAGTCTTGCTCTTGTCCCCCATGCTGATTGTGCTGCCGTCTCCTCTGCCTCTCTCCTTATAGCTGTGAGGTAGTGACTAGCTGTCACTTTCTCCTGGCATCGAGAATACTACAGGGCTGAGTCATGCTCTTAGAGGGCCATGGCCCCTGTTCAACAATAACCATCGGGTGGCCCTAATTGCATCCACCTAATGGGCTACTAAAGCGTGTAGGCCCCGATGCAGCCACACTGGCTGCACTGACGGTAGTACCTCTGCTGATAATCAACACCACAAACAATACCACAATTACTCTGTCACATTAACCCCTCCAATTGTGTCACAATCAGACCCTAACCATGCAACACTCACCCTGTCACATAAATCCACCTAATCCTGTCACACTTACCTCCCCTCACCCTGTCTTTCTTCCTCCTCCAAACATGCCACATTCACCCCAATCCTGTGATACTCACCTCCCCAACCATGCCACACTCACACATTAACCCCCTAAATCTGTCACTTACCTCCACTCACCCTGTCACACTCCCTCCTCTAACCATGTCACACTCATAGCTCGACCCCGTCACACTCACTTTTCTTCATTCTGTCACCTCATTCACCCCTGTCATTCTGTCACACTCACCCTGTCACAGTCACCAGTTGAAGACATTCATTATACTTACAGCCATGAAACATAGCTTTGGCATAAACACAATGCACAACGCACCCCAAGCAGCTATCCCACACACATACAGTCCCAGACACAAACATACACATGCTCACAGAGACATACATTCATTCACAAGGAAACGCTCTGTCAGACACATGCTCTCAGGCTGTCAGCATACACTAACATGCCCAACACACAGAACTTAAGTGACAAATAAAGAAAACCCTAAGATGTATTACTGGGCTTAGAACGGCCGGATTTAACATATAAAAGGAAAAACACAAGACAGGCTGAGGTCAAGAATACAGACATAGCGAAAACGGCATGTAAGCCAAAGGTCCAGAAATATAGAAGTCAAAATAGTCAGGAGCCAAGCCAAAGGTCAATGGATACATAGATCAGAACAGTCAGTAAGAAAGCCAAGGTCAAAATACACAAGAAACAATACGAGAAACGTGCTCTCGGATAACCAGAATAGAAACAATGACAGTGATCAGAGAAATGGACCATAAAAGCTTAAATAGCCCAAGGTGCTCCTTGATTGGCTGCAGGGAAGCATGTGACAGTGAACGTGTGTGTGTGTGTGTGACGTCACACACACGTTCCAAATGTTTAGGCACTAGAAAGGTTAATTATGAACCTTAAAAGGTTCTAACTTGCAGCGACCGGCGTCTCTAATGTTTACAGAGGAATGTCTGTCTGTGGGGCCGGGGGGCGTCGCAGGAGGAGGTGCCTAATCAGCGGAATTCTCATTACTATGTGGGAATTCTGCCACAACAGGATGCACTGTGGGACTGCCGCCGCAACGATATGCACCCACTGGGACCCATACTGTCCACTGGCAGGAGCGGACCCGGAGGGCGGCATGACAAAGGCACATACACAGGTAGGCATTGCCAGACACACATAGAAATACACAAATCCAGATACACATTGTGTCTGCATGTCTGTATTTGTCAGTGTGTTTGTCCCTGTGAATCAGAGTGTGTATTTGTGAGCATGTAATAGTATGTTTGTGTCTATACTGCAACGGTGGTATGGGCCATGCAAAGGAATAGTGACAACATATATAACATCTATAATATACATACAAATACAATACATGGTGCAAAACATATAAACAATATATATGATAACATATATGTGAAAGGATTATTGAGTTTGTGAGGAAAATATATTTGATGCTGTTTTCTTATATGTAACTTTATTTTTTGGTAAATAGTTTTATAAAAGTTTTTTTGCTCAACCAAATTTTCAGTTTTGTTTCCAATAACCCTACAACCATACCCAGCAATTGTGTATAAACTATTAGTGTAATTTCAAATTAAATTTGTTTATTACAAATTAGTTTAGTTTGCAAACTATGCCATATCTATAGTCAGAGGTCATAACATAGCGACATAGAGAGCCATAGCACTGCAAGCCTCTGAACAATGAATGCAGAGACTAGCTCTTTGTATCCAGTGTTGCAAGCCAGCCCTTCAATTAAACTACAGCTCCTTATAAACACAAAGCAACTGTCACGGCCCCCTGCTCAGTAACGAGTCGGGAGCCGCTCCGACAGGTTCTCCTGGCTACCTGCCCGGATTAAAGAGGGCGCCGACCATGCAGTCGCAGCCATAAATAGCCCCCCCCAGGGTCACACAAATGTGTCATGATGTCAACGCACATGGATGTTCTTGGATCAGAGGTTACCCTCTGACCAATCACAGTCAAAGGAGGGATATTTAAATCCCTAAAGTTCCCTGGTTCTTTGCCCTGTCGTGGTTTCCATACCTGGTTCCTGAGAGCGCGTTTCCTTGTCCTATTTTTTTATATTTCAGGTATTTTGTCTTTTTCCTAACTATTCTGATTTCTGGTTTCCCTGACTTGGCTTGTTAAAGGGTATTATATATTTTCTGGCTTCCTTGACCTTGGGTATCCCTTGACCATTCTCTGTCTTTAAAGTATTAGTCCGGCCATTCTAAGGACCGGTTTATGTTCTATCATTTTCTGTTCTGTCTATGTAGATGTAACATAGTTCTGCGTGCTGGACCTCACTAGCAGTCGTGACAGCAACAAAGAGACAAAATCAAAACAATCTTAACTATATACAAAATAACTATTGCCTAAATACAATGCAATGTGAAATAGATACATATTTATATAAAAATGCTATATTTACTATTTCCTATATTAAAGCAATCTTCCAAATAATTAATTGTATCTAATGGTAGTGTGTATAAATAAAAGGCTTTATTTTATAATGTTTGTATACACAAGGTAATCTTCACGTTAGTATATATATTTACATATAGGTTAGGTTAATCCTTATACATACAAGTGTGATTTTCACTCTTGTTGTATAAATTTCTTCCTCACATATATACCATTGTGCTCTTGTTGCTGGGCGATTTGAATATTATAATGTTCTGATTGTCACTTCTCTTACACTGTTATCTCCAATATTGTTTGCACACCTACTATTTTGTTTTTTATACACACAAGGCAACCCCTACTAGTTTTTTTTCACCTTGAGCGTTAGTGGGGGCCTCATGTTTGAGTTTCACCTAATGCCTCACAAAGTCTAGAGTCTCCACTGAATGTTATGTATTGAAAGCATGCAGTCTTACCCTTGTCATTTATCTTATCTACACCTAGAAGATTCAGATATACTTATTAAGAAGACAGGGACAGGTGGTAATTTTTACCACCTGGAACAGAAAAACATATGCTAATTAATGTGACTATGGCACAATATAGAAAGCCAGAAATCTTACGGTGTACTGGTAGTTGAAAAATCCTGATGCTTCCATCTCAAAAACATTGCACACTTCCACCCCTACTTCATGCCGGATGCGGCTAAGGTGCTGGCCCATGCCACTGTCCATGCCTTGACTACTGCAATCCACTTCTCAGTGGTGTTACCAACAAGCGCCTTTACAGTCTCTAATGAATGTGGTGGCGAGGCTCACCTTCCTGTCTGCCCGCACCTCCCATGCCTCCCACGCCAGTCCCTACATTGCCTTCCCATAAGATATAGGGCTCAATTTAAAATTCTGGTTCTTGTTTTCAAATCTCTACATAATGCTGCTCCTACATATCTATCCTCCCTAATACACAAGTATGTCCCATCTCTGCCGAAGACTTATGTCTATCTTCAGTTCGTACTCCCACCTCTGATGCTCATATGCAAGACTTCTAAAGGGCTGCACCATTCCTGTGAAACTCCTTTCCCTTCTCTGTTAGATGCTCACACAGTCTCCACTCCTTCAAAAAAATCATTAAAAACACAGTTCTTTACAAAGGCGTATCAATTAAACTCCCCGCTGTTTCCAACTGTCATTACTTCTCTAATACTATCCTTACCTTTTGTGTCACCATACTTCACTTCATCTAGCATGTAAGCTCACTGAGCAGGACCCTCAGACCCTCTGTTCCTGTGCGTACAACTTGTCTGGTTACAATTACACGTTTGTTAGTCCACCTACTGTAAAGCACTGCGGAATTTGTTGG